TCTGTTCCTCCTGCCTTTCCCCAGCACTGAGATTATAGGTATGTGCTACTATATTCAGTGTGTGCTGAGGGTTGAACTCCAGGGGGTTTCATGCACTCTACTGAGTTATATCCTTAGTCCTTATAACTATACTTAATTTATTCTGATTCTCAACAGACTGTTGGACAACCACTGCAAGTTATTAATCATCAAACAACCGCTCCTAACTAGAAATGAAGATTAATAATACTTTTAAGACTAAAAGCTGTCTGCTCCATCATCATCCTAGTTAAGTGACCAGGCGATACACCACAGTCAGCACTGAAAAGAATGGAGATAAACCCACATCAGGGTTTATCTAAGAGGCTGGGGGCCGGGGTGCTCCCGAGAGCTAGAGCTAAGTGCCAGATTAGATAGTGCCTCTAGCAGAGGGCACTGGGCGTGAGTCCAATCAGGGAGGACTTGGAGAGAGGGAGGAAAAGTCGCCAGATCCTGTAGCAGGACTACACCGGGAGGAGTGGGAAGAGACACACTGTCTGTAACAGGTTCTGGGGACTACGCAAAGGTGCACGTGGGACTCTGATGGTATCCTACCACTGACTGAGCTCCTTAATGTATCTAGAAAGCACCAGACACAAAAAAGTATCCTAAATATGGTTTTAAAAAAATATAAATAAAATAAAAATTCCCCAAAGCAAAAATGAAAACTTTCTCCAAGTTATCAGAGTAGGGGCACTAGATAGAACTCTCACATTCAAGGCTCTCGTTTTGGCTGTGTTATTTGTATTAAATAAAGTTAACTTCCTATTAGAGTTGCTTTTACTTTGAATTCTTTTTTGTTACTTCAATTTACTTTTCTTTCATCTTTATTTATTACTTCTTTACTATAAAGCATAATTTTCCATACTCCAGTAAACACAAATTCATTAAAAAATAAACACAGAAGCCGGGGTGTGGCAGCACATGCCTTTAATTCCAGAACTCGGGAGGCAGAGGCAGGCGGATCTCTGGGAGTTCAAGGTCAGCCTGGTCTACACAGTGAGTTCCAGGCCAGCTGAGACTACAGGGAGACACTGTTTCAAAAGGATTAAAAATAAATAATAATAAAATTTAAAAATATTAAAAAATTTAAAAAATTAAAAATAAACACAAACCCCAAATATTCTTATTCTAACAATAAAGTCACACCTATAAAATAAATGCATTAAAAACCACAAAAGATACATTTCAAAGATAAAAAAATGATGATAATCTACTGTACACTTTATCAAGGTCAACAGAAAGAAAGACAATATGAAAACAACAGTCTTCAAATCTATCCCTAAGCAAACTCTGCTGAATAATATGACTGAAGAGTAAGTATTCTCAGGTATCTGCACATCAGCTCCAAGAAAAAATACAGGGCTTTGGTGGGGACAAGGACAGGGACGTAAGAAGATGACACTTCCCAGGTAACAATCATGTGTATCAGGAATTCAAGATTCAAAGTCTAGGGGGCTGGAGAGATGGCTCGTCAGTTAAGAACACTGGCTGTTCTTGCAGAGGACCCAGGTTCGATTCCCAGCACCCACATGGCAGCTAACAACTGTCCATAACTCCAGTTCCAGGGGATCTGACAGCTTCTTCTGTCCTCCGCGGGCACTGCACAACATGGGTGCACTTACCTACATGCAGGCAATACATGCATACACATAAAATAAAAATAATAAAATATTTTTTAAAAAAAGATTCAAAGTCTAAACAATTTAAAAGATCAAAACAAACCAAACACAGTATGCTGGTCTGGGACTACACCTCAGTGGTAGAGTGCTTGCCTAAATGTGTGAGACCCTGGGTACAATACTAGGTATTACCAACACTTCAAAAATACTTTGATTCATGGCCAGCCTGGTCTACATAGTGAGTTCCAGGACAGCTGGGGCTACAGGGAGACCCTGTCTGGAAAAGACAAAAACAAAACAAAACAAAACTTTGAATTCTTGCTACTTTTAGGCCAGGAGATGTAAGAAAAAGAAAAGCTACAGTCTCTTCTTGGCTGCTTTGTTATACTCTGCTGACAGGCTTTGGTTTGCCACATTCAGTGCCACAGCAGCTGATAAACAGCAATTTAACTATTCCCACAGCACAAGAACTTGGAAACTTGGAACAAAAATTCCCAACCCAAACAAAGAAATACACGGTACCTTTTCATTTTTCTTTTGACCACCAATAACATATATGGAAGTAGACATCACAGTAGACACATCTCCAAAGTGACAAGAAAATCTTCATCACGGGTTTCCAACCTCCAATCCATTAACAGTGTTCTGACCTGTGGCATTTTCTCCAATAGTAAAGCATAACCCCACATGGGAAGTAATTTCTCTAACGCTCTTTCCACGTATCTAGAAGTGCATTATGCTAGGTGATAGAGGGAAAGGAGAAACGGACACAGCCTCTCCCTTGCACCAGTCTTTTTCATGGATTTATTTATTTTTATTTTCTGTGTATGAGTGTTTTACCTGCCTGTATATAAGTGTACCATGTGTGTGCAATGCCTGCAGAGACCAGAAAAGAGGTTGGGCCCCCTGGAACTGGAGTTATGAACTGTTGTTAGCTACTATGTAGGTGCTGAACATCTCTTCAGTCCCATCCAGTTTCTTTTTTTATAAAATGTATTTATTTTTATTTTATGTGTATGAGTGTATTGCCTGTGTATGTAAGTGTAAGTCATGCAATGCCCATAGAGGTGAGAAGGTGTTGGATTCCCTGGAACTGGAGTTAGGGAGGGTTGTCAGCTGCCATGTGGGTGCTGGGAATTGAACCCAGGTCCTCTGTAAGAGCAGCCAGTGCTTTTAACCACTGAGCCATCTCTCCAGCCCCCCATCCAGTCTTTTCTTGCATTGGCAGGACAGCCCCGAAAATCTAATGTTGCATCTCACAGTTGCCTTTATGTACTAAATAAGAGTTCATCAATGTCAACTTCAAGCACTGTAATTCTTTTAAATCACTACAAGGTACATCACCAATTCATAACCCTATTTTCCAACCTTAAGATCTGTGTGTGGATTTTAGTCTTTATTATCTTAGTGTGGAGATCTGTAATACTTTTCTTCTTTTTCAAAAAAAAAATACAAATGGTGTTGGGCGTAATAGCAATTGTCTTTAGTCCCAGCACTCAGGAGACAGAGGCAGACAGATCTATGTGAGATCAAGGCCAGCCTGGTCTACATAGGGAATTCCAGGCCAGGTGGGGCTACAGGGAGACCCTATCTCAAAAAGACCAAAACCAAACAAACAAACCACCAAATGTAGTTTTTTACTGCTTGCAAAAGCTAACTTTCCCTCCTTTTTTTTGTATCAGTGATGCCAAAATTTTCTTTAAAGTCACTATCGTGGCATTTTTTTATTGTATTACTGATGGGCATACCTGTATCTTGGATGAGAGCACCATGTCCTGATTTCATTTATGAAAACTAGATTTGGGGAAACACTGTTTCTAGAAGCACCCAGAATCTTGCTTTCTGCCCCCTCCCCCTCTGATTCGCAGGAACAAGTAGGGTCTCATGAAGCGTTTACTTTCCAACCTTAATTTATTACTTCTATACTTTAGCTGTATGAGTTTTACATCAATCACACCTCTTGTCAACACCCTCTCATAAAGCTCCTTGTTTTGACAAGTCATTCGAAAAAATGTCCTCATGTATCCCAGGAGGGAAGCCTAATTTGGCACAATATAATAAATGTCCCTTTCCACCACTGAATAGATGGTTCTAGGGTTCAACTAAGCTTTGAATGATTTTTCTAAGGGAGAAGTCATTCTCCCCAGTGTCCTTGTCATCTACGGGTTGGAAATCTCTGCATCAGTTCAGATGAGTAATCACTTATCTGACCCCCAAAGGGCTGGGCCTTCCATTTCCCGCTATTGCTGTCTAGGGCAGGTGGTGGGAAAGGATAGAGGGCCTTTGATCTCCAGGCTCTAGCGCTCAATCAATCCACAATTCCCAGCCCTCAGCACTTTCTTATCCACTTCCTTGTCTCTTCTCCGTTTTTCTTTCCTCCTTCCGGCTTTTTCCCCCCCTTAACCCATGACACTCGAGTGGTTTGAAATTTTTACAACATACCGGTCCCCTGTGATTCTCACACCTTAAAACAGCAAAACCAGAGCTATTAAAAGGCTACTGTGGAGAATCGGGTTCCATTTCTTCAGGATCTCTACAAAGTTTGGCTACAAAGCATGCGGGGCTGACTCAGAAACTACCAAAAGCCGGGAGGGCTGCAGCACACTCGCCTCAACAACTAAGCCAACAGCAAAGATCCCACGCGGAGCCCACGGCCTGACACTTGATATTCGGAATGACAGAGCAGAGCTTCGGGAGCCGGGCTCGGCCCTCCTACCCGGCAGGAGCCGGTCTGCACCTGAGTCCCACCCCTAAGGCCCCGCCCCACCCGGGGGCTGCAGGGCAAAGCCGACCCTCCAGGCCGAGCAGGAGTGTCCCACTGGGGGTGTCTCAGGGTCATCCAGGCTCTGACCTGAGCCCACGCAGGGTGCCAAGGACCCATCCTGGCGTTTAGGTGCAAATTCCAGATCCTGCGCCCTCACCCTGCCGTTTTGGGGTCATGGGGCCCGTCCCTGACCTGGTCCACACCGGGTAGCGACCTCACCCCGGGGGCTGCACTGCTGGGCAAGGGGGCGGCCTCACTGGGGTCATCCAAGCCCCGACCTGGGGCGATGCCCCGCTGCAGGGGAACCCACCCTGGGGGAAGGGGGTGTTGCAGTGCAAAGGCCGGGTCTTCTAGCTGGAGCAGGGAGCGTCCTCACCGGGGGTGTCCCGGGGTCATGCGGGCACTGACCTGGGCCGACACGGGATACAGGGGACCCCGCCCTGGCTGCGGTGCAAACGCCGGGTCCCCCAGGCACAGCCGGGCAGCCCCTCCCCTGGCTTGTCGGGGGCTCGGCGGGGTCTCGGGCCCAGGCCTCGCAGGCTCCCCACCCGGCCGCAACAGGTGCGCGGCCTCCTCCGCGGGCGCCCCACCGTTACCTGCAGCGGCCGCGGGGACCAGCCGCTCGCGCCGTCCCGGCACTCGGGGGCCCCAGCCGCTCGCGCAGTCCCGGCACTCGGCGGAGCTCGCGGCGGGTCCCGCGGGGTCTCGGGGACGTTCGGCCGCCCGACCAGGCCGCGGTCCTCCGCCCAGCACCGCCCGCCACCCTGCCTGCCCGCGTTCGCTCGCGGCGTTTTGGTCCCTCCCTCTCGCCGTCCGCCGGGTCCCGCCTCGCCCCGTCCCCGGTTGTCAGGGCAACCCGAGCGACGCCTGCTGGTGGAGAGGCGTTAGAGGGCAACGCGGACCGGGCTCAGCCGGGAGCAGCGCACCATGGAGCCCCGCAGTAAGCGGCGGGCGGGTCTCGAACCCGCGGCCTCTGGGAGCCTGGGGGCCGGGGGAGCGCGCTGTACGCGTGCAGGCGCCGAACCCTTCCCGGGACCCCACTGAGCACGGTAGTCGCCACTCCTTCCTTCCGCCCAGTAGGTAGTTTGTTCCTTCATCCTGATGGTGCAGCAAGACTGGGTCTCCGGACAGCCCGCCTCCCCCAACCTTCCCAGCAACGTGTGGTCAATTATCCTCTCTCCAACCATAGAGGTTTGTGACAGGGTCTGTAACGTGCAAAAAAGGTTTCCGGGTTTTGTTCCTTGTCTGTGTGTGTCTGCACGTGTTCTCACACATGCACACGCGGGCAGCTGCGTGTGCAAGTGTGTACGCGTTCATGTGCGTGCTGGAGGTCAACGTCAGGTGTCTTTCCTCTGGTGCTGTCTCCGAGAAGGCTAGGCTTGAACCCCAGAGATCTGGGGGGTACAGTTGCAGCCACTGTGACTGGCTCTTTACAGGGCTTGTAGGCATTAAACACTGGTTCTCATATTTGAAATTTTATTTATTTTTATTTTATGTGCATGAGAGCTTTGCCTGCATGTATGTAAGTGCACCATGTGTGTGCAGGCCAGAAGAGGGCGTCAGATCACCTGGAAATGGAGTTTATCAAGGGTTGTTAGCTACCATGTGGGTGCTGGAAATCAAACCCAGGTCTTCCACAAGAGCAACCAGTACTCTTAACCATTGATTCATCTCTCCAGCCTCACATACTTTTTTTTTTTGTCTTTTTGAGACAGGGTCTCCTTGTAGCCCCCAGCTGTCCTGGAACTCACTATGTAGACCAGGCAGGCCTAGAACTCACAAAGATCCACCTGCCTCTGCCTCCCAAGTGCTGGGATTAAAGGCGTGCCCCACCACACCCTGCCCCACATACTTTTTTAAAAAGTATTTTATTTTTATCTTATGTGTATGTGTGTATTGCCTGCATGAGTGTAAGTGCACCTGTGTCGTGCAGTGCCTGAGGAGGTCAGAAGTAGTTGTGGGATTCCCTGGAACTGGAGTTACAGGTGGTTTTTAACCTCCATGAAGATGCTGGGAATGCATCCTGGGTCCTCTGCAAGAGCAGCCAGTGCTCCTAACCTCTGAGCCATCTCTCCAGCCCCGCCCTCATACTTTTTGCAAGCACTTTATCCACAGAGCCATCTCCCCAATTCTGTTTATCTTTGATTTTATTATTTTTATTTGTTATTTTATGTGTCAGATCCTCCTGGAAATGGAGTTAAGGATGATTGTGAGCTACCAAGTGCATGCTGGGAACTGAATCTGGGTCCTCTGCAAGGTCCTCCAGTGCTCCTGATTGTTGAGTCATCTTTGTAGCCCCTTTGCTGGTCTCAAACTCACTGCATAGCCCAGGCTAACCTGAATGCAATCGTCCTGACTCGGCCTCCTGAACTGTGGCAATCTTCTCATGTGTCAGCATTCAGAAAGTGCTGGGATTACAGCATTGTTTTTGACGTATGGCCAAAGCTGTGCAGTATCTGACAGGTGCTAGAACGCTCTTTTTTTTGCTTTTTGGTTGCTTTTCCTCGACCTTTCCAGGGTCTTTGTCCTGGCTCCTCTTCCCTACTTAGACTATTTTTATTGCCCCCTTTGTTCTTAAAATAAGCACACTGTTTTACATGCAGACTTGAAAAATCTTATACTTTTCTAGGATCCAGTTTGACACTAAAAAACCAAGTTTTCTTTTCTTGTATAATTTCAGAAATAAAGTTTCTAGGAGGAAATGCCTGCATTTAAAAAAAGGTCTCTGAGCCTGGTGTGGTGAAAAACGCCTTTAATCCCAGCACCTGGAGGCAAAAGCAGATCTCCCTGATGTTGAGGCCAGTCTAGTCTACATATCAAATTCCAGGTCAAATGGGGCTCCAGGGATACCCTGTCTCCAAAGAAAAGAGCATGTCTTTACAACAAGAAAGTTTTAAAGACTTTTTTTCCTTTCTTTTCACTTATTTGCTGGACAGAAAGCCTGTAAATTATGAGTTATAGTTGCTTGGGTTGGTAAGATTTATATGTGTCCTTTATTTATATTTAAAACTCACTGGAGGGGCTCAAGAAATGGCTCATGGGTTAGGAACACTTACTGTTCTTCCAGAGGACCCAAGTTCCGTTCCCAGTTCCCATGGAAGAATTCCCTAGCACATAGGCCCTCAACCTGAGGGCTGCAGGTGTTCAAGGTTCAGAGGAGGAAGATTAATAAAGTTGTAGTTAACAAGAGAGGGCAAAAAGTTGTTTGAGCAGAAAGAAAATAGATGAACCCAAGAAGATCTACAGGAGTCAGATGGGGAAGACTTCATAAAGCTGAATAAGAAATTTATTACATCCAGGGCTGGGGAGGTGGCTTGGGGATTAAAATGCTTGCCTTGCAAACCTGAGGAACTGAGTTCAGATTCCCAGAACCTGTGTAAATGCTGCATAGGTTTGGCAGCTGGCCTGTAATTCCAGCCTAGGAAGGCAATCCCCAGAGCAAGCCGGCTAGCTTGTGGGCAAGCTCTGGGTTAGACTGAGAGACCAGTCTCAAAGATGAGGTTGAAAGACTGGGACCCAGGCATGGTGACACATGCCTTTAATCCCAGCACTTGGGATGCAGAGGCAGGTGGATCTCTGTGAGTTCAAGGTCAGCCTGGTCTACATAGTGAGTTCCAGGCCAGCTGGGGCTACAGGGAGACCCTGTCTCAAAAAAGACAAAAACAACAACAACAACAACAAAAAACGGACTGAGGAAGATTCCCAGCATCAGCGTTGGGCATCTACCAGCACATGCGTGCTCTTGCACCCACACGTGCGTCTATATATAAACACACATGCATGCACATCACAAATACACGTGACAAAATATACATTTAAAAAAACAACAATAACAACAAAAAAAACTAGGGCTCACTATGTAACCCTGGCTGGCCTGGAACTCACTATGTAGACCAGGCTGGCCTTGAACTCACAGACATCCTCCTGCTTCTGCCTCCACAGTGCTAGAATCAAAGTTGGGTGCTACCACACCCAGCCTACATAGCTCCTTTTGTTACTGAGGGATTCCAAATGACATTTACAAGAGTAGTTTTATGTAGCATCAGTAAAGTGATTAAGAGGACGAAGCCTTCTTAATTACTTTTAGGGATTAACTATCTGCTCTCAACATTTCCAAAGTGCTCAAAGTGACCCTGCAGTCAGTCAGGCCCATTCTGCCTCCACACTCTTAACTTTCTATTACTTGTAGGAATGACCTTTGTTAACCTACTTCATTAAAATCTCATTAAGCACCAACCCATCAGACCCCACAGCTGGCTTATCCTCTGGAACTAAGCAAAGGCTGGCAGGCAGGCTTCTGCTATTTTACAGAGTAATAGTCAGTCAATGAGCCAAGAAATGATTCCCAGGGAAAGGGCCAATTAGATGAGCTCACAGCCGTGCCTTGCGCAGGGTGGCTTGGGCTCTTGGCTTACACATTCATCTCTTTTATTATTTTCTTCCTAAGCCAACTTCAGTGTTAGAAAGGTAACCCATATATGAAATAACATGGGAAATATACATATATATCTTTTTTTTAGATATTTTTAAAAAATCACTGTGTAGACCAGGCTGACCTCAAACTCAGAGATCTGCCTGCCTCAGTCTCCTGAGTACTGGGATTAAATGCATGCACCACCATGTCTGGCCAGGTATATGTATATCTTTTTAGAAAATACTTAAGTCCAAAAGTATTTATCTCTTCTCTAATACCTGTACCAGTTATGGTTGGGGGCAGGGCTTGTCCCAAATCTGAACAAGCACACTGGGAACAGGCAAACCCAAGGAAACACAATTTGACTGAAAATTGTATGTATTTATGAAATGCAGAAACTGAATATATCAGACTTGAGAGATGGCTCAGTCGTTAAGAGCACGTGCTGCTCTTTCAGAGGACTGAGTTCAATTCCCAGCACCCATGTCAGACAGCTCACAGCCACCTGTAACTGATGCACTGGACTCACGTGTATAAACCCACACACAGACACACACATATACATAATTTAAAAATAATAAGAAACAATATATTTATCAAGCACAGCATCAAGATAAGCCCCCCATCCCCCTCAGCTCCCAAACCCTAACTCCTCGAGTCAATTACAAGTATAGTGTTCTGATTTTGTGTCAGGTTGGTGACACAGGGTGTGTCATTTATCTAGCATATATATATTTTTTTTACATGAAAAAATCTATATGATCATATATATTTTATATGCATATATATAATTTCTTTTCATACACACATACATACACAACTTGGCCTGAAGTAAGCCAGACTACAAAAGCCAGGTGTGTGACAGAGGACTATAATCTCAGAACTCCAGAGACAGAAGCAAGAGAATCAGAAACTCAAGGTCACATAGTGACTCAAGGTCAGCCAAGGATACCTGTAACCCTGTCTCAACAGAACAAACCACAAAACTCCAAACAGATGTAAATAGCTGTGGTGACTGAGGGACTGGGGCATCACACGCTACTGGAGTGACATCCACAAGCCTGCCCGGTCTTCCCAGTCACCCTTGGACTCTTCTTCCCACTCCTCCCCTGGCACACACCCTGTTACTAATCTCCCAGGTGTGCTCCACATGTGCTCCTTCCTCCCTTCCCTGCCGGCTTCAGTACCATCTCACTTAACCACCACTGTAGGCCCTGTTGAGCTCTGCAGTTCCTCCCCTGCTCAAAAGCCCTCCAAAGTTACTATAGTCACGCTGCGCCTTCACACATCACAGTTTGGTAGATGAGAATTCTGTCACCGAACCACCAATGCTCAACGCACACATAGCATTCGGCTCTTCGACATACAATGCTTGTTCCCTTCCTCAGGCACACTGGACCTCGCTAAGGCCTGGCCAGGGTTCTGCTCCCTCTGAGTGGGTCTGAGCTTTCCTATCCTGCAGTCATTGCTTAGGCATCGCCTCCTTTTCCGGTTTTTCCCAAACTTGGCGAAGGAGGCAGTGCTGCCTGTCTGAAGCCATTCCTGTCTGCTTTTTCCTTCATAGCAACAGTCACAGTTTGTAATTATTTTGTTCATTAGAACAGGTACTTCCTCCACCAGGTAGTGTGATGGACGAGGGCAGGGCCCTGTCTTCTTTCGTTATCGTTTCGTCCCAGGTGCCCTAAACAAACATCTATTGAATGGATGGCATTGCTGTTTACCACCGAGTGCCTAGTTTTCTTTCCTCAAGGGGGATGGGCTTAAAATAGAAAGCTGC